CCGGAGGGCCGAGGAGGAGGCAGGGCAGCCACTGAGCGTGTTCTTAGGGTGGAGGGCTCAGGGTGAAATCCATATGGGCTTTTGCACCTCGAAAACCCATTCGTCTTGTGATTCACCATTAGCAGCTTCGTGCCTCGAAGATCTATTACTACCGAAACGGCATTTCAGATTTCACCCTTTGCCCTCCACCGAAAGAAAATGCTCGGAACCAAGGAGCCCCGCTGTGGCGAGCAGAGGTTCCGTGGAGGCCTCCCAGATTCAGGTCGGGCAGGACACCCTACAGGGCAGTTTTCAATACATCGGATGTTTAAACATGCATGGTTTTAAATACATGATTCATGTATGGATAAATTTAGGCATGAATTCATCGTTTTTTGATACCACATCCGAGCATTTTTAGTACATGATCCGCACGCGGAGCATGTATTGAAAACGGCAATGTACAGGCGGACTTTAGATGAAAAGTTGAAAAATACTCAAAACATGAAAATGGTTTAAGACAACACATAAAGAAACGTCCCCTGACTAGTGTTGGACTATTTTTGAATAGCCCCCCTGTAGAGGGACAGGCCCGACTTAAATTTAGGTCGGGCATGTCACCCTACAGGCGGACGTTGGACGAAACATGAAACATGTCCACAGCATATTCAGTAGTAGCCAGAACATAAGACAAAAATCGTCCCCCGACTATGTTTTAACTATTCTTGAATATTCCTCCTGTAGAGGGACAGGCCCGACTCAATCCTAGATGGGGTCGGAGTGGATGTGGTCGGATGATCGCGCCGCATCGCCGATACATCGGCGACACATCGCCGATGCATCGGGGATGCCTCGACGACGCTAGCGTAAAGAACATCGGGCTCCGCATCGAGCCGCATCGCCGATGCACAGAGACGAGACGGCGCGATCCTCCGACCCCATCTGCTCGGACCGCGTCTGGGAGGCCTGGATTCCAGAGGCCCAGATACCTGCATCCTCAGGCATCCGTCCTCCTCCTCCACCCCTCCCCTTTATGTCGGGCGTGTCCCCCTACAGGGGGATGTTCGACGAAACAAATACCCCACACAGGTCACACATACTGAACAAACTAGTCCCCAGACTAGTTTTGGACTATGTTTTGCTTATTTTGGTTTTTCCCCACATGCTTCATGGGGTTATGGTTTTCTTCCCTGCCGCGCCGCACCCGCGACACTCACACACCCACACCTCCCTCTCCGTCTCTCTCTCTCTCTCTCTCACACCTCACTCTTCCCCTCCTCCTCACAGCACTGCTCAGCACAGCTCAGCTCAGCTCAGCTCAGCACGGCACAGCTGAGCACAGCTCAGCTCAGCTCAGCTCAGCTCAGCACAACACAGCACCGCACAGCACAGCACGGCACAGCACAGCTCACCGCACAGCAGCACAGCACAGCACAGCACAGCATAGCACAGCATAGCACACAGGGCATTCCTTCGACGCCACAGGGGGTGCGCTGGAGGTGGGGGCCCTATGCGTTGTAGGCTCCCAGGGCGTGGCAGGCGTGGCATTTCCTCGACGCCACAGGGGGTGCGCTGGGAGGTGGGGGCCCTATGCGTTGTAGGCTCCCTGTGCGTGGCAGGCGTGGCATTTCCTCGACGCCACAGGGGGTGCGCTGGGGGTGGGGGCCCTATGCGTTGTAGGCTCCCAGGGCGTGGCAGGCGTGGCATTTCCTCGACGCCACAGGGGGTGCGCTGGGGGTGGGGGCCCTATGCGTTGTAGGCTCCCAGGGCGTGGCAGGCGTGGCATTTCCTCGACGCCACAGGGGGTGCGCTGGGAGGTGGGGGCCCTATGCGTTGTAGGCTCCCAGGGCGTGGCAGGCGTGGCATTTCCTCGACGCCACAGGGGGTGCGGCTCCCACGACGCCACAGGGGGTGCGCTGGGGGTGGGGGCCCTATGCGTTGTAGGCTCCCAGGCGTGGCAGGCGTGGCATTTTCGTCGACGCCACAGGGGGTGCGCTGGGAGGTAGGGGAGGTAGGAGGAGGAGGTAGAGGAGGAGGAGGAGGAGGAGGAGGAGGAGGGGGGGAGGAGGAGGTGGGGCAGCAGCAGCGGCAGCAGCAACAGCTGCAGCAGCAGACGCAGCAGCAGCAGAAGCAGCAGCAGCAGAAGCAGCAGCAGGAGGACAGCGAGGAGGAGAAGGGGGAGCAGCAGCAGAAGCATCGATGGTACACATGGGAAATGAAATAGGTATGTGGGGTTCCTCGGTAGCGTAATTCCCTACCTAGGCTCTGCCTAGAAGGGTTCTTACTATTAGGCTTAAAGGGCCGGGCAAAGGAACCCGCCCCGGGCGGTTCCCCGGGCATCCGCCCCGCGGTTCCCCGAGTGACGTTCCCTTAGCTTCGCGTTGCTTATCTCATCTTAGCTTAGCTTATTGCATCTTACCTTAGCTTAGCTTCATATTACCTCACTTTTATTCCCTACCTAGGCTCTGCCTAGAAGGGTTCTTACTCTCTTAGCTTAAAGGGGCCGGGCAGTGGAAATCGCCCCGGGCGGTTCCCCCAGTCCCCGCCCCGCGGTTCCCCCCAGTCCCCTGGGAGCTTTAGCTTTAGCTTTAGCTTAGCTTTAGCTTAGCTTTAGCTTAGCTTTAGCTTAGCTGTAGCTTAGTGTTAGCTTAGCGTTTCGCTTAGCGTTTCGTTTCGCGTTTAGCTTAGCTTTAGCTTAGATTTACGTTAACTGTAGCTTAGCTTTAGCTTAGCTGTAGCTTAGCTGTAGCTTAGCTGTAGCTTAGCGTTCGCTTAGCTTTAGCTTGACTTTAGCTTCGATTTAGTTTAGCTGTAGCTTAGCTTTAGCGTAGCTTTAGCTTAACTGTTGCTCAGCTTTAGCTTAGCTTTAGCTTAGCTTTAGCTTAGCTTTAGCTTAGCTGTGGCTTAGCTTTAGCTTACCTTTAGCTTAGCTTTAGCTTAGCGTTACTGTTACTACTAATGCTGCTTTCCTAGGGGTTCCAACTCCTAGGTAGGGTCGCACTGGGATAATTCTTAGCTTAGCTTACCTTCATCATAGCTTCGCTTAGCTTTAGCATAGCATAGCATAGCACAGCACCGCGTAGCGTAGCGTAGCATAGCGCAGCATCGCATATCATAGCATGGGTGTAATGCCCTACCTGGGCTCTGCTTAGAGGGTTAGCTTAGCTTAGCTTAGCTCAGTTTAACTTAGCATAGCGCAGCGCTGCATTAGCATACTACAGCATAGCATAACATAGCCAAGCATAGCAAAGCATAGCGCAGCATAGCATAGCATGGTTTGTGTGTTGTTCCCTACCTAGGCTCTGCCTAGAAAAATCCTTACTGTCTTGGCTTAAAGGGCCGGGCAGTGGAACCCGCCCCGGGCGGTTCCCCCAGTCCCCTGGGAGCCAAGCAAAAGCAACAGCAAAGGTAAAAGCAAACGCGCGGTTCCCGCAGTTGCGCTCCCTGGGTGCCCAGCAAAAGCAAAAGCAAAGGCACAAGTTAAGGCAAAAGCGAAGGCAAAGCAAAAGCATAGCATAGCATAGCATAGCGCAGCATAGCATAGCGCAGCATAGCATAGCGCAGCATAGCCTAGCCTAGCCTAGCCTAGCCCAGCATAGCATTGCGCAGCATAGCATAGCATAGTATAGCATAGCATAGCATAGCATAGCAGAGCATAGCGAAACACAGCATCCACTATTGCTGCTGCACCGCTACTGCTACAACTACGACGATGAGGAGAAGGAGGAGGACGGCGTTTACCGCTCCTACTAATGTTGCTTTCCTAGAGGCTCCAACTCCTAGGTAGGGTCGCACTGGTATAAATTATTTGTCGTCGAAAATCCCCCTGTAGGGGGACAGGCCCGACTTAACCCTCCCCCTCGGTGCAGGAACGACGAGGCGAGACCGCGTGACGGTCAGCACTGGGCACAGGGGCCCCGAGGTCAGGGAGCCCTGGGCCCCGGCGCCTTCTTGCCCCAGGGCGAGCCCCTCCTCCTCCTCCTCCTCCTCGTCCTCCCCATCCTCCTCCTCCTCCTCCTCCTCCTCCTCCTCCTCCTCCTCTCCTCCTCCTCCTCCTCCTCCTCCTCCTCCTCCTCCTCCTCCTCCTCCTGCTCCTCCTCTCCTCCCCCTCCTCCTCCTCCCCTCCTCCTCCTCCTCCTCCTCCTCCCCCTCCCTCCCCCTCCTCCCCTCCTGCCCCTCCTCCTCCCTCCTTGTGGAGGCCCGGGGAGCCCGAAAACCAGGGGCATCCAAGAAGGGGCGTCCACGAGGGGGGGGGGGGGGGGGCACAAATCATGGCTGGCGACCTGTGCGCGGCTCGGGGGGGCGACGGAGGGGGCCTTGAACCAAGAGGGAGCGCCACGAAATCTGGGAAGATCTCATGGCCCGCGCCAAGATATATCCCTCCCCCCCTAGTCATTCCCCCCTCTTAGCCGCCCCCGAGAGAGCGGCGGAAAACCTTTGATGGGCCTGTTTTCCACCATCACCACCACCATAAGTTGGAGGGAGGAGGGAGGAGGAGGAGGGGGGAGTGAGGAGGAGGAGAGGAAGAGAAGGAGGAGAGGAGGAGGACGCAGAGGAGAGGAGGAGGAGGAGGAGGAGGAGGAGAGGAGGAGGAGGATGAGGAGAGGGCGGAAAGACCCCCTCCCCCTCCAACTTATGGTGGCGGCTGTGGAAACCAGGCCCGTCAGTCTTCGGACTGGTTGCCCTCAGGACCCGGTTCCCCCTCCTCCTCCTCCTCCTCCTCCTCCTCCTCCTCCTCCTCCTCCTCCTCCTCCTCCTCCCACGGCGACGGCGCGCCACCGACATGCTCATTTCCGGGATCCCCGCCTCGGGCCTCCGCTGGCCAGATCGGGGCGATCCAGGCACCCCCCGAGGGCTTTTTCGGCGAGGCTCGGCCGCTGGCGCGCAGCAGCCGAAGGGGGGGCACCGCTGAGAAACCATACGAACACGCCCGAAAGCCTTGAACCTCGAGCCCGAACTCTCCCTCGGGACCCGTCTCCCCCATGGCGAGCTCAGAGAGGCGAGAGGCGTGCGGGGGGCGCCTGGCCCGAAGGCCCGGGTCCGGTATCGAGGCGTCACGCCATCCCTCCGCTCGTGGAGGGGAGAATGGCTGCGGGCGCGGAGGAGGAGGACGAGGGGGAGGAGGAGGAGGAGGGGGAAGGGGAGTGATGATGATGGCGATGACAATGAGGATGACGATGACAATGACGATGATGACGACGATGATGACGATGATGATGATGATGATGATGGCGATGATGAGGATGATGGCGCTGATGACGGCACTAGTAATAGTAATACGAATTGTAATACTGATAATAATAATAGCAGTAATAATAATACTACTACTAATAATAATATTAATAGTATTATTATTAATAATAATAATACTAATAATAATAAATAATAATAATAATGATAATAATAATCATAATATTAATAATAATATTAGTACTATTAATAATAGTTGAATTAATAATACTAATACTACTAATACTAATACTAATAATATTAATAAAATTAATAATAATACTGATAATAATAATATCAGTAATAATAATGATACTAATAATAATAATACGAATAACCATAATAATAATAAAAATAACAATGACAATAATAATCATGAGTATGATGATGCTGAGACTGGTGGTGATGATGACGATGATGTTGATGATGATATTGATGATGATGACGATGGTGATGGTGGTGATGATGATGATGATGCGGAGGAGGAGGAGAAAGAGGAGGAGGAACAGGAGGAGGAGGAAAAGAAGGAAGAGGAGGAGGAGGAGGAGGAGGAGGAGGAGGAGGAGGAGGAGGAGGAGGGGGAGGAGGACGACGACGAGGAGGAGGAGGAACAGGAGGCGGAGGGGGGGAGGAGGAGGATTAGGAGGGGAGGAGGAAGAGGAGGAGGAGGAGGGGGAGGAGGAGGAGGAGGAGGAGGAGGAGGGAGGAGGAGGGGGAGGAGGATTAGGAGGATTCTATGGGATTCTATAAGCGCTACAGGTGACGTAGCCGAACCCCTTACCACAACACACCAGGGAGGTGAGAACCTCGACGCGCCTCGATCCGTCGAACCCTGGAGAGATCAACCTCTATGACAACCGCAGACGGCCCGTGATGGCTGGAGTGCTTGCCCTGGCGAATTCGGGCCAAATTCTCATGGCCCTTCTTTTAAGGCGTGGAGAGGGAGGAGGAGGAAGAGGAGGAGGAAGAGGAGGAGGAGGAAGAGGAGGAGGAGAAGGGGGAGGAGCAGGAGGAGGAGGAGGGCAAGGGGGCGGAGGACGATGGTGATGGTGTGATGATGATGAGGAGGAGCAGGAGAGGAGGAGGAATAGGACGGAAGGATGAGGAGGAGGAGGAGGAGGAGGAGGAGGAGGAGGAGGAACAGGAGGAGAAGGATTAGGAGGAGGAGGAGGAGGAGGAGGAGGAGGAGGAGGAGGAGGAGGAGGAGGAACAGGAGGAGGAGGGGAGGCGGAGGGGGAGGAGGATTAGGAGGAGGAGGAGGATGAGGAGGAAGGAGGAGGAGGAGGAGGAGGAGAGGAGGAGGAGGAGGAGGAGCAGGAGGAGCAGGAGGAGAGGAGGAGGAGGAGGAGGAAGGAGAGGCGGAGGAGGAGGGAGGAGGAAGGAGGAAAGGTGGAGGAGGAGGAGGAGAGGAGGAGGGAGGGGGGGAGGAGGACGAGGAGGAGGAGGGAAAGGAGGAGGAGGAGGGAGGGGGGAGGAGGACGAGGAGGATGCTGATGATGATGATGATGACAAGCCCTGAGGTCAGGGTTCGGCCGCCTGGCCAGCCTCCTCAGATGAGGAGCACGTACTGGCCGACGGGCCTCACGACCTCTGCGCCAGCGCGACGAGCTGCTTGAAAGCCGCAGACCTGGCCACCGCGCCCTCCCTCGACTCCTCGGAGTCGGCTCTGGCCCGCTCCGCCCGCGGCGACGCAGCAGCAGCGGCAGCCTCGACGCCGTGCTCGAGGCCGCCGAGCGAGGCACGGCGGCCGCCGTCCAGCGCGGCCACGCGGCCGCCGAGGCCGCCACCTTGCCCACGTCCTTGCCCTCGTACGCTCGGTGCGGCCCGAGGATCCCAGGGCCCTGGCCAACCGCCGAGGGCGGGGGCACTTTCCCAGGCAGGCCCGTGGCGCAGAGGGGGGTACGTGGCACACGGCCTGCACACCGCCCCCGCTGCTGCTGCCTCGGCGCCGCGCCCGCTGCCCTCGAGCTCGGCCGAGGCAATGGCGCCGTCGCGCTCGTCCAGGCTGGGTGCGGCTGCGCCAGGGGCCTGCTGCCCACGCGCGCCAGCCGCCGCCAGGAGGCGGGCGACGCGCTCGGCGAAGCCCAGCGGGCCCAGTGCCGTCGCGGCGTGGCCGTCCCGCGCGCCCGACACGCCACCGGCCGCGGCCGAGCCGCTCGCCACCCCCGCAGCAGCCTCCTCGGCGTCGTGCGCGGTGTCGTCCAGCGCGCCCACGGGGTCGACGTCCAGCGCGTCCGAGCCGTCGGCGCCCGCCGAAAGGCAGTCCGCCGCCCCCGCAGCTGCAGCCTCCGCGTCGTGCTCCGCGTCGCCCAGCGCGCCCTTGGTGTCGACGCCCAGCGCGTCCGAGCCGTCGACGACCGCCAGCGATCTGCCCGCCTCCCCAGCATCAGCCGCCTCAGCGCCGAAGCCCAGCGCGCCCAGGAGGCCGTCGTCCAGCGTGCCCGAGCTGCCGAGGCCCATCGCTAGGCCGAGCGCCTCCGCAGCAGCTGCAGCCTCGGCGTCGTGCTCGTCGTCGCCCAGCGCGCCCTCGACCGCGACGCCCAGCGCGGCCGAGCCGTCGAAGGGGTCCTTCTCCAGGCCGAGCGCCTCCGAGGCTGCTACCTCCTGAGTGTCGTGCTCGTCGTCGCCCAGCGCGCCCACGTACTGTGCGCCCAGCGCGCCCGAGCCGTCGAAAGCCGCCGCCGAGCCGCGCAGCGCCCCCGCGCCAGCAGCCCCAGCAGCAGCATACTCCGCGACGTGCTCCACGCTGTCCGCCGCGGCCGAGGAGATGACGCACTGCGTGGTCTTGCGGCGCGGTCCCGTGCTGGCGGCGGCACTGGGCCTCCCAGCAGCAGCAGCTCCTTGGGCTCCCCTGAGTCGTGCCCCAGCACGCCTATCCCTTCGAGCTCCGCGAACTGCCGCCTGCTGGAAATCTCCTCTGGCCATCGCGTGTCCGAACATGGTGTTCCTCCCTTCCTGCTCGTCACACCAGGACTGTGCCCTCTCACGCACTCGTTGGTGAAGTGCAGCCATTCTGCTCTCAAAACCTGCCTCAGGCACTGCCCCGTCCGTGCCACTGAGGACGTCAACCTTCGTGAAAGTGGTGTGAACCTCGCTTGTCGTCTCCAGCCGCCGAAGAGGGGTGGTGCTGTCGATGAACTTCTTCAGCTTCTTGAAGGGGCCGAAGCCACGCCTCAGGTTGTGGAGGGCCTCGAGGCCCTTGGTAGTGGCGACTGCGCAGGGCTGTCGCAACTTGGCCTTGCGCCGCTGCAGCGCCCAAGCCCCACACTTGACACAGATGAACACTGGCCTGTAGGTGTCCTGCCCGTCGCTCTCCAAGGTGCCCTTCTGGTTGACCGCGACCAGCTTGTGGCCATTGGGGTTGCGCCGATGGTCCAGCAGGAAAGTGGGCGTCCCAGGGCACCCCGTGAGGGGGAGCGGTTGCCCAGGCATGTGCAACTGTAAGCAGGTGATGCATTGCACGCCCAGCTCGCCATCTTGCCATTGGTGCCATGTTGCCTTCCTTGTGCTCGCTGCTCGCCGCCAGGTCGGTGCCCTCCTGGTCCACCTGATTTGGTCGTCCTTGTCGAAGATGGGCATGGCGTGGGCGATCAGCTTCGCTAACTGGCTTATTCTGTCTACGCCCTTCTGCATCGCCTCGACTACCTGCAGCGCGGGGGCGGGGTGGATCGCCGCTGCCTCCTTGGCCCTGCGGTCCGCTACAATGTTCGCGTCCGTTATCCTCCTCTGGCTGTCGGAGAGCGCTGCGTACTCGTCCCCAGAGCGGTGCGCTTTGACGTGGGCGCACTGCTGCACGCGCGTGAAGCCGTCGAGCGACTGCGCGAAGTGGGCGATGCACGCATAGGGGGTCCTGGCCTTCAGCTGCAGCTCTTTCTGCTTGTTGCCCAGATGGATGACGCCCTTGAAGTCGGCGTGGACGGTGCAGGGTCGGTCTGCAACCTGAGACACGAAGGCTGCCGCTAGATGCTCTCCGACGGCAGACTCTCGGGGTAAGGATGCGGGTGCTGCTCCGTGCATGGTCGCCAGCGGCATGTCTGAGCGGGGGTCCAGCAGGGCGAGGCTCCATCCTGCTCGCTGGAATTCCTTGATGGGCGGCTTGGTGCACGAGCCGTCAGTAGCGATCTCCATACTAGCATCGTCATCCCTGAGGAAACAGGCTGCCATCTGCTCAGGCTCCTGACATTCTTCATCTGGTACTGGGACTCCTTGGCCGTCAAGTATGACGCTGGTAGTGCCCAAACTCATTGTCGGAACATCAGCACACGCATATCCAAACATACCCTCAATAAAACCAGGCTCATCTGCATGCATGCGTAGCCCGTCGAGGAAATGTTGTGGGACCTCTGCATCAGCTCGAGCTTGCTGAACTTCAGGTCTTGTGCAATCAAGAAGTCGGTGCACCAGCGAGTCGGGAGCTCCACAGGGACACCTACCATCCGTGTTGTATCCACGCTGTTGGGCTCTCATCCTTGTCCAGACTCCACTGCACGCTACATTCATGATGCAGAACTTCTGGTGCGCCGTGTACCGTTTGCTGCGCATGGAGACCAGGGGGGCTAGGATGTCGAAAGTGGCACGCTTGCCCTCACCAAGGCCAATCTTGCCCGCTAGGTCTCGCTCATGCTGACATTGAACGCCTTGCTGCAACATCTGGAGCATTAAGCTTGGGGTGAGCTGCTCCACAAATACCTGATCCCCCCGATGGTTACGCCACCTCAGTGCCGAGGTTGCTGTCCAGCCTGCCCGCGCCAGCGAGAGGGCAGCTCGCTGGAGAGGCCCACGGGTAGCTCCCCACGAGCTGCATACCCCAGGTACTTCCACCGCTCTTCGCCACCACGTCGTAAGTAGTGCCAGAGGTACTGGTGCCTGAGTAGGATGCGATACTGCCAACCAGACCACCCGCGACCACTGCAGCACTGGCGCCATCGCAATCGCCACTGTGGGGTCGCCCAGTAGCACCACCTTGGCCGAGGCCGAGACGCCCCCATGACAGGGTTTGCGGAACTTGTCGGAGTCTGTTCGCAGCTTGTGGAGCTCCCTGTCGGTGAGGCCCGTGATCTCCACGCCGAAGGTGGCCGCAGGTCGAGCTCCAGCTCGGAATATCTTGGCCGTGCGCTGCGTCTGCTGTCCTGGTAGTCGATGTCTGAATCGCCCCAGCTTGCGCAGCCTCTGCTTGTAGATCTTGTGGCGTGCCTGCTGCTTGGCGCGGAGGAGCTTCCCTCGCCTCCTCCGTGCTCCCGCGAAGTCAGTGCCCAGGTATGTCGCCCGACTGCGATTCATGTCAGCAGGGAGTTGCAGCTGCCGCACCACTTCCTTCCCAATATCATTTGAGCTGGCCACCACAGCAAGCTTATCATTAATACGGGCGCCGAGCTTCTTAGCCACATTGAAAAAGGCATTGCCCGCCTCGACCGCCTGCAGGATGACACTCTCCTTGGTGGCTCCATTGATACCGAGGGAGGTGTCGTCAATGTAGGACGCGAACCTTACCAGCGGGTGGAGCGTGACGTAGATATCGTACTGCTCGATGGCGTGCGCCTTTATGACCACGTCTGCGTAGCCATCGCCTGCTGGGAGGCCGAACTTTGCATGCCGTGGCTGCGCGCCGTGATGCTGGTGGAGACGTATCACTCGTGGTCCTCTCCACTGGTTGTACACAATTTTTACCATCGCCAAGGGCATTCCAAGCCTCAGCAGCTTGTCCCTTGCTTCGTCCAGGGGAATCAGCTCGTAGTACTTGCTGTAGTCAGCAATGATGGTGGCCGTGTGCCGCCCTGCCTCTGCATTCTGCTCCGCATCCGCTGCCAGGATCCAGGCACTGTCGACCGCGCTCCTGTTCTTGGCAGCCGCCCAATAGGGCCTTCGCAGGGCCTCTTGCAGAGGTAGGAGGGCAGGTTTACGTAGTCGTTGCCAGACTCTGTAGGCCATGGAGTATAGGATGATCAAACGGTGGCCTCCAGCGGCCTTGGGCAGCATCGGCATCACCATCCACGTCAGCTGGACAGGGAAGAGGCCCAGCGCCTCGCAGGCCAGCATGATGTCGCACAGGCCCTCCAACGCGTCATCGCTGAGGTGCTCTAAGTGCGCGGGGTGGAGCCGTCCAGGCTGCTGGAGGTCGATGCTGAAGGTACGGGAGGCGCGCCGAAGTTCCTCTGGTGATGGCCGTGCGAGGGTAGACCTATCAGGAATCCACGCCTGGGGAGGCTCCATCACCGCCTTCCACAGCTGCGCGCGTGCGTATCCTCCATATCCTTGACTACAAAGTGCGGGTGCCCTGTGATGCCGTTCTCCGAGTCGTTAACCGTGGCGGGGGCCTGAACTGCTCGCACGCGAGTGACCTTGTGGAGCTTCCCCGCTCCGCCCGCACAGGCCCCGTCACACCATTCTCTCCAGCGCCTCGAAGATTCCTTGTTCGCTAGCTGCATGGCAAAGTTAACATCCTCGTCGATCTCCTCCGAGAAGGTCATGATGTCCTCACTGCTGAAACTCCTCTGCGCAATCTGCCGAGCATGCCGAACTGATGCGTCGAGCCTCGCGCTTAGGTTCTGCCCACAGTAGTCTACACTGAGGAAGCCTTGCAGCTCGTTGTCGAGAAACTGTCGGCCCTCGGGTGTCCTGGCGTTCGCCTTTGCGGTGATGAGGCCCGCCAGGCAGTCCTGCAGCCACTTCCATCCATCCGCGACCGCCTGTACCTCATCCTCCGTGAGGACCTGGTGCTCACGCTCGACCCACTTGGCTTGGAGCGGACGCGCGTAGGCGCTGGCCCGCGTCTCCGTACCAGTGAGGTGCCCGAGCCTCGAGGCTGCCCTGGTCGCCCATCTGCCCCAAGCCTTCGAGAGGAAACGCCGGGCGACTGCAGCAGGCGCCTCCTTGGCCATGCTCAGCGCCTGCTCAGCGAAGCTGCGCTCCAGGGGCCAGCTGCTCTCCTCGAGGAAAGGTCCTGGACAATCTGCGCTGGTATCTTCGCACCGCCTACGTAGGTGAGGTACCTGAGCTTGGTGCCCTCCGCTGTCAGTTGAAGCTGCACTGGTCGATGCGGCTTTACCGACCAGGTCAAGTCTGCGTTGCATGCAGCTAGCATGCGCATGGCTCCCGTGGTCAGCCCGAAGTAGTCGATGGTTGACACCGACGCCGCTGTCCTGCAGGTCGCGTGCCTCGGGGTGACCATCTCCAGCTGCGCGTGCACGGGGAAGCCGGAGTTCTTGACAACCTGCACGTCCATGTTCCAGTCGCCGCCAATGATGCCAGGGCGCGCCTGGCCCGCAAGCGCGAGCCCCACCGTCATGAGTATACTTGCGTTGCGGCTGCTCATGCCCTCCCCTGTGTGGAGGTACACGTTGGCGACGTTGAGCGGCGGCCAGTTCGGCAGCTCCACGACGACGTGTTGAGCCCTGCCACGGACGAGCTCGGTGCCGTGCGCAATGGTCTCGTTGACGCTGCCTGCACGTCTGGGCGGGGCCTCGCCAGGGTAAGTGGGCCCGCGCAGCCCGATCCCCTCCCTGGCGAAGACTGCCAGGCCTGCGGAGGGGAGGTGCCCTCGTGAGGGCAGCCCTGGCACGATGAGGCTTTGCCAGCCGCGCGCCGTTGCCCAAGAAGAGAGGCTCTCGCAGTCATCGATGCCGTATCCTATCTCCTGAGCCATGATGACCATTGCTGTTGACCTTCTCAGCCGCTTCTGGAGGGTTAGCTTTCCCTGGTTGGCGTTGAAGGTCTCGAAGGTGTGCGTGATGGTGACCGCTGCTGGTACGTGTAGCTGCTTGGCGCCCGCGCTGGCAGCCAGTAGCCCGCTGACCAGGGGCGGGTTACCCAGGCATCGTGCCTGTGCCCAGGGAGCCTCCAGCAGTCCTGCGGTGCTTGCTGTGCTGGACCTGCGTGAAGGCGTCGTCCAGCTTCTCCTTGGTCCAGTCCGTAGGCTGCTGTCCGCTGCTGAGGAGCTGCTGCCAGAGGGCGCCGACGTCATCCTTGGCCAGCTCCACCCAGGCGGCTCCGCGCTTATCGCCTCCTCGAGGCTGTGCGTCGCCGTCGGCGTCTTCGTCGTCCATGTCATCGTCATCCCGAGCTGGCGGTCCGTCTGCTGCGCCTGCGCCACCGCCCTCAGCATGAGGAGCATGAACACCAGGTTCCTCAGCCATGACCGTAGCCAGCTTCTCCGCCGCCTGCTTGCGGAGGGCCGCCTGGATCTTGCCGAAGTGGGGGCTCGCCTTGAACTGCTCGAGGGCCTCCTTCGCGCCATCGTCGTCGAGCTGCTCGGCGAGGTCGAAGCCAACCAGGTCTTCCTCCTTGATGACTGGGTGGGGCTTCTCACCACGTGCAGCCTGCATGGTTTGCTCGTGCTTCGCATTCTCCTTTCGCAGGACCTCCACCTCAGCCTGTTTAGCCGCAATGGCCTCCTGCTTATCCTGGATCTTGCGCTGGGTAGCCTCCAGCTGCGCCTCCAGGCCCTGCAGGTCGCTCGTGAAGCGGTCCAGCTGCTGCATGCACCGCGCGAGCTTCTGGGACGAGGCCTTGTAAGCAGCGCCTGGGGGGCGCAATTCACGCGCCTGCTGCCGAAGGACGTCGAGGGCCCGCTGGTGCAGGAGGTGAATTGGGCCGCCCTCTGCCTCCACGATCTTGCACTCCTTGAGGCTCTTCTCGTGGAAGTTGATCTTCGCCTGGAGCTCCGTGCGCTGCTGGATGTTGCCCTGCACGTGCTGCGCCTGCTCCTTGCAACCGGCGCCCGCTCCTGATGACGCTGGTGCCGTAGGCGATGGGGGCCCCTTGGTGCTGCCCGCGTGCTGGGAGATGCACTGCTGCACCAGCTCGCGGATCTTCTTCTCCGTGAGGCCGCTCTCCTTGGACCACGGGGCAGGCTTCCGCACGAGCCCTGTGCCTCCTGCCCTCTGCGAGGGCTTCTTGTTCCGCGCCTCCTGGTCCGCCTTCTTGGCAGCGTTGATGACCTTCTGAGAAGCCTGCCGCCCGCAGGAGCACACGATGCGGCAGGCCCAGTTGTTGTCCTTCCCACACTGGCATCCCCAGACAGGCTCTCGGGGGCCACGCAGCACTCTCGCCTGCGGCGGTGCAGGCGCCATCGCCCCTGCAGAGGAGCCGTGATGGGCGTCCAACCGCTGGGCCGCGCCGCGCAGCCTGGCTACCAGCGCAGGGGTCGTGCGCCCCGACCAGGCGTGGAAGAGGAACCTGTCCTCCCTGCGTTGTAGTCGCGCTCGATGATGGGCGGCAGCCTCCCGCGGAGCCGCCGTCGCGAGCGCTGGTCTCGGCGCGCGCCAGGAGCCTATCCCCTCGCCTGCCCCGCAGGCGCCCAAGGGGGAGGCAGCTCCTCGCGAGCCGAAAACTGGAGGAGGAGGAGGAGGAGGAGGAGGAGGAGGAGGAGGCCACAAGGAGCTCCACCGAGAGCCCCAGTGGGAGGGTTCGCCTGGCCTCACAGCATCGATTTCGGCACACCGCTCACACGCTTCGGCCCCACTTGGAGGGCCCGCATGCCACCACCGCGCCCATTCCGGCACACCTCTTACACGTTTGGTGGCCCCATCGGGAGCTCCACCGAAGGCCCCAGTGGGAGGGACCGCATGCCGCCACCGCGCCCATTCTGGCACACCTCCCAGACGTTTTGTGCCCCCCATAGGGAGCTCCGCCGAATGCCCCGCTGGGAGGGTTCGCATGGCGCCACCGCGCCCATTTTTGCACACCGTTCAGACGTTTCGTGGTCACATGGGGAGTTCCACCGAAGGCACCAGTGGAAGGGCTTGCATGGCGCCACCGCACCTCTTTCGGCACACCCCTCTCACGGTCTGTGGCCCCATAGGGAGCTCCACCACAGGCACCAGTGAGAGGGTTCGCGTGGCGTCATCGCGCCCACTTCGGCACACCACTCAAGTGTTTCGTGGCCCCATAGGGAGCTCCACCGACGGCCCCAGAGGGAGGGTTCGCATGGCGCCTCCGCGCCCATTCCGGCACACCCCTCACACGCTTCGTGGCCCCATGGGGAGCTTCATCGAAGATGATACTGACAACTGTGATACTTACAACTGCATCTGTTTGGGTCCATCCTTCGCCAGGCAAAATTTTGAGTTTTGAAGCGTTCTTTGATGTTTTCGGGGCCTCGGGATGGCTTCCATTCGTAGTAGGAAGAGGGTACCCACACTGCTACCCTTTCCTCGCTTTCGCCTTTTAGGGCCTCCTGCCAGGCCCTCGTCGCCACCGCTGGGTTCGCTGGGGAGTAGCGATATCGGCACATTTTGGTTTCCCCGTCCGTCCGCTCCGCCTCGGCGAGAGCGTCCCAGGGATGCCCGAGTTGTCCCAGACGGCCGCTGGGGGCACGAGCTACCTGGCCCGGAGGCCAGGGGAGGAAGGAGGGCAGCTCCTCCCCTCGCATGGGCCTCCTGTCGCCATGAAGGGAGAGAGGGTCCGAGGTAGATCTGTCCTGTTTCGCCCCCCCCCCCCCCACCCTCAACCTCTTTTCCCTTGTCGGGCTCTCGGGGCCCTCCTCTGTCCTCCAGGGCCGTCTTAAGGTGCCTCGGCACGAGGCTGTTGTCCTCGGGGGAAATACCCCAGGTCTCTTTCGCGCCCACCCTGCTCCTCCCCTCTTGCGTGATCCTTTTTTCGTTTCTCTCTTGCCTCCTCCTCCTCCACCTCCGCCCGCGCCGGCGCCTGGCCACCCTGGGCGCGCGCCGGCTGGACAGAGCGCGGCGGCGGCCCATGCCCACGCCGCTTGGAGGAGTTTTTGCGCTGCGCCCCTGTAAATCTGACCTTTCGCTGCTGCCACCCCTCGCGCGACTCTCCGCAGATGATTTGCATGCACCGTGCCGCGCCGGTATCTCCCGTGGCGTCGTCGGTTTTGGACCCAGGGCCGAACAAAACTATCACCATACCGCGTTGGAGCGGGGCCCGCACGGAGTCCAGACATGGTGTGGTGCAGCGGCGTCCTTCTCGTAGCCTCCGTGGCCAGTGGCCTCCTGCTCCGCACCTTCCTCTCGGCCCTGGCGCCCCCCTGGGCTCCTCTTGCTCCCCCCGAGCCGTCAGAAGCACGACCTCGGCGCCCTCGTCGGCTCCGACGGCTGCGACAGCGGCGACGACGAGCGCGTCGAACATGGTGATGACGATCACGATGGCGATGGTGACAGTGGTGACGTTGACGATGACGGGAATGTTGATTTTGGTGATGATGTTGGCGATGATGTTGAGTGTGGTGTTGTTGATGGTGATGGTGGCGATGGCGGCCACGACGTAGGATGACGACGTATGATGCCGACGATTAACCGCAGGAAGCAATTAAGAAACCCCCCCCCCCCCCCCTCTCCGGCGAAAGTATAACGCATCCAGCACCCTGGAGGCGTTATCCTGGCACCTCGCAGTCTTTGAGAAGATCGGAGAGAGGGAGGGAGGGAGGGAAGTGCGGGCCCACATTGCGAGGATGTCTCAAGCGACGCGTGTGCTTCATCGCCGCGGGGGGCCCCCCCCGTAGGACGCCCCCATAGGACTCACTCAGAAGACTCCCCCCCAGGACTCCCCCATAGGACCTCTCCCCTAGGACTTCCCCATAGGCCTTCCCCATCGGACCCCCCCCCCATAGGACTCCCCCGTGGGATTCCCCCATAGGACTCCTCCATAGAACTCCCTCCTAGGACCCCCCCATAGAACTCACCCACAAGATTTCCCATAGGATGTGTCAGAGCAGTTCTTGAGGATGTCTCAGGCGAAGCGTTTGTTTCCGAACCACACGGAAGCCAGATTGCGAGAGTGTTTCAGGCGGTTTGCTTGCGTCGGCACGCAGACTCGTCTGCGTTCGTAGCAGACGGATTCTCAGGCTTCTCGCGTCCGCAGCTTTCGAGGTTCCCGAAAGGCAGCAGTGGGGCCCCTGAGCTTCTCGATTCCTTGGGCGGTCGTGTGAGATCAGTTATTGAATTACTCTGTAGATTCGTATTCATATTGACGCGTGTTCAGTCGTACTTCTGTCTTGCCTGTTCCTCCCGCTTGGTTATAATTTGTATATGATTATTCTCCTCCCTAGTACTCTTGCCCTCACTCTTGACAGGGGGTCGGGGGGCGGGGAATTATTTTCCGTGCGTGACCGGTGCTAAGATAACGCCGCGGTGCGGGGTGGCGCGTTATCCTGGGATGGACCACCCCACAGGATGGCCGAAAATAATTAATGTTTCAATACGGATATCAATAAGAATTTGTTAGGAGAGGGACGATGAGGAGAATCAGAAAAAGGAGACTTGTAGTGGACGGTAAGGAGAGCGTGTGAACCTGCAGTCGCTGGGTACGAGCTATTACTATTAATATATCTATTACTATTACTATTACCATTTCTATTACTACTACTATTACTATTACTATTACTATATCTATATATATTACTATTACTATTACTATTACTAATACTATTACTATTACTATTACCATTCTTACTACTATTACTATTACTATTACTGTTACTATTATTATTACTATTACTATTACTATTACTGCTACTATAACTATTACTATTACTATTACTATCTCTATTACTATTACTATCACACTATTACTATTACTATTACTATTACTATTACTATTACTATTACTATTACTATTTCTATTTCTATTTCTAGTACTATTACTAGTTCTAGTTCTATTACTATTACTATTACTATTACTATTACTATCAGTATTACTACTACGTATTACTATTACTATTACTATTACTATTACTATTACTATTACTATTACTATTACTATTACTATTACTATTAATATTTCTATTACTATTACTACTGCTATTACTATATCCATTACTATTACTATATCTATTACTATTACTATTACTATTACTCTTACAATTACTATTACTAGTACTATTACTATTACTATTACTATTACTATTACTATTACTATTACTATTACTATCAGTATTAGTATTGCTATTATATTACTATTACTATTACTAGTACTATTACCAATACTATCACTATTACTATTACTATTACTATTACTATTACTATTACTATTATTAGCATTATTACTATTATTATTACTATTACTATTACTATTACTATTACTACTACTAGAGCCCAGGGGGGACCAGGACTCCGTGGAAGTGTTTAGCATCAGTGACTCCATGGAATGGCCTTGGGCTCCTCAGCATCTCCTTCAACCTTCTTTCCTTGGCATCCCAGGAAATCCTTGCCCCCCTCCCTGGGCTCCTTCAGAGGTCCCCCCTGGGCTCTTCCAGGATTGTCTGAGAGGGGTGCTGCTGCTTTTCGGTGTACACCGACCTTCCTTAGGAATCCTCAGACCTTCCTTAGGCATCCTTAGGAATCCTTAGGAATCCTTAGGGCCATGGCGCTGGAATTATTTAATTTATTTTTGTTTTGCGCGGTGCTAAAGATAACGCTCGGCTAAAACCACCCCAAATAATTATTTAATTACGGCGCGGTGCTAACGATAACCCCGGGGGGTTCCTTAATTGCTTCCTGCGGTTATGTTGATGATAAGGGCGATGCTGGTGTCGGCGACGACAATCATGATATGTGCGACTGCGATGATGATGATGATGATGATGATGATGATGATGATGATGATGATGCTGATGATGATGATGATGTTGATGTTGATGATGATGATAGTGATAGTGATGGTGATGATGATGACGTTGAGGATATTGCTAGTGATGATAGTGTTGAGGGTGGTGATGTTGATGATGATGTTGGTGGTGAGGATGATGATGATGATGATGATGATGCTGATGATGATGACGATGATGATGATGATGACGATGGTGATGGTGATGACGGTGTTGTTGCTGCTGCTGCTGTTGTGGTTGTTGTGGTTGTTGGTGGTGGTGATGATGATGGTAGTGGCGGTGGTGGTGGTGATGGATGAGGATGAGGCTGAGGATGAAGATGATGATGATGACGAGGATGACGACGACGACGACGCCGACGACGACGCCGCCGCCGCCGCCGACGACGACGACGACGACGACGACGACGATGATGATGATGATGATGATGATGATGATGATGATGATGATGATGATGATGATGATGATGGTGGTTGTGGTAGTGATGGTGGTGATGATGGTGATGATGGTGATGATGGTGATGATGATGACGATGATGACAATGACGATGATGCGGTGGCCAGGCTGTCTCTTGCGTGCCTCCCCTCTGGTGCCCCAGCAGATTCTGGCTCGCTCCGCGGGAGGGGGCCGCTCCCGGGACGCGCCTGCTGCGCCGCACCGCGCCCCTCCGCGCCGCGGCGCCCGCGCGATGGCGGCCTTGTGGCCGCCGCCGCCTGCGCCCTGCGCGGCGCGGCGGGCGCCCGCCGCGCAGCGGCCCGCGCGATGCCCGGGCACGCCGCGGCCGCCCCGCGCGGCGGTGGCGCGGCGGCCGCCGGAGGCCCCGCGCGGCGCCGCGGCGGCGGCGCTGCTGTGCGGCGCCGTGCCGCTCGGCGCCGCGGCCGCAGCCGCGGCGGCGCGGCGGGCGGCGCGGGCGGCGGCGCGGGACGGCGTCGGCGCGCGCCGTGGGCGCGGGCGCGGCGCGGGGCGGCGAGGGCGCCGGCGCGGCGCAAGGCTCGGTTCGGACCCGAAGACCCATTCCGGCTCCATCTGCTCCGGCCCCAGCTGGGATGCCTCTAGCCAGGAACGCGCGTGCCCAGACACCTGGCATCTCGAAACAGCCGAGTCGAAGGTGTTTCATCGTTTTCGTTGGCCTCTGGGGGCCCCCGCCAGGCCTCGGGACTGGCGTCTCGAACAAATCGAGGCGGGTTTCTTTCATAGTTTTTGGCCTCTGGGGGCCCTCGCCAGGCCTCGGGACCAGCGTCGCGGAAAGATCGAGGCGGCGGTTTTTTGATTGTTTTCGGCTTCTGGGGGCCCTCCCCAGGCCTCGGAACCGTCAAAAAACGACTAGGGATGAGAAGCCAGTCCTGGGGAACGGTCGAGATGTCGAGGGCCCGAGACGCCGGATGGCTAGGATACTGTCGGTAACTTCTGGACAGCGTGTCGCTCCGCCGGTTCTGGCCCACCACGCTTCGGTGCAACACGTTGTCCACTTCCCGGCCCCCCAGCGTCAACGTCTCGAGTTTTTTCCCAGTCTCCCGCCCCGCGGAGCGGAGCGACGCGCTCTCTGCTCGCAGGGGCTCGCGGGTCGCCAGGGCCGCCGCCGCGACACGCTAAGCAAAAGTTCCCGACCGTAGCCCTGACAGCTTGGCGTCGTATTTTTTTCGCACTCGGCGTTTCCGCCCATCTTCAGGCCCTCGGGGGCTTTTAGGGATCGATGCGGCTCGAGGGATGCCGCAGACAGATGGGTCGGCCTCGTCTCCGCCACGGGGTTCCTTCCTGCTTGCGCTGGCGCCTCCGGCGCCAGGAGGGCGCCAGGAAAGTCGGCCGCGTGAGCTGATTCGCCAACCCGCCTCTTTGTTCGGGCGAGGACGACTGGCCAGGATCGGTGTATGTGTACAGTTTGTTTGTTGTTTCTCTCTCTCTCTCTCTATCTCTCTCTGTCTACATATAACCGTTTATGCATCTGATGTATGTAGATGGCTCGCTCCCTCTCTCTCTTGTGCTTCTCTTTCTATACGTATACATATTCTTATCATGATCGCTTGTTGTCTCTCTGTCTCTCTCTCTCTCTGTGTCTCTTTCTCTCTCTCTCTCTTATTTTTCCTCTCTCTTTCTCTTTTCTAGATTGCTATCCTCACCCATTCGCCCGACCCGATAGGCGGGGATGGTGCGGGCGTGGTGTTCGGGGCGGCGGCGGCTGGGGCCTCCTACAAGGAGTTCCTCCTGGTCACCGAAGAGACTAGGCCCTTTTACTACAGGTTCGCCGACGCCGTCCTGACCGCCTACGGTGCCGTCTGCTTCCTGACGAGCGTGCTGGAGCCAGAGACGGCGACCCGCTATCACTTCCTAGAGCTGGAGGACTTCATCAACGTGTCGTTCTTCATCAAGTTTATGCTTCTCTTCTGGTCTAACGACTGGAGGGCCAGCTGGCTGTTCAGTGGGAAAGCGCTGCTGGACCTGGCCAGCTGCCTCCCAGTCATCGCCATCCCGGTGCGCTTAATGGGCGATGGCGCGATGGAGGATTACCTCAGCCTGCTGCAGATCGCCAGGTTCCGTCGGCTAAAAACATACGGTCGGGATTTTTTGGATAGCGTGTCGCTTCGCCAGTTCTGGCCCACCACGCTTTGGAGCGACACGCTGTCCACTTCCCAGCCCCCCAGCGCAAACGTTCCTGCCTCCCGCCCCGCGGAGCGGAGCGACACGCTATCCGCTCGCAAGGCATAGCGTGTCGCCGGGGCTCCTGGGCAACACGCTCCCCAAAAGCTCCCGACCGTATCCGTATTCGCGGCCTCGCGGGCCGGGCCCCTGGGCCGCGACTCCGCGGATATGGGGCGTTGTTCGCGGATGCCTCGTGTGGAACGTATCCGTGCGACCGCGTATCCGCGGGACCGCGTCCAGCAGTCCAGACCGCGAGGGCGCGGATATGGATATGTTTGCTGTTTTTGCCTTCCGCACTCAGCAGTCGTGTCCTTTGCCGCGTTGCCGGAATGTGTGCGATGGGAGCCCGCTGTCCCCCGCAGCAAAAGAATGTTCGCCGCTTGTGAAGGTTCCTGCGGCTCCTCCTCGACGAGGTCGACAACGGCAAGAAGGGGCCCTCCCTGCCCCTGGAGCAGCAACTGGTGTCCGTGGTGCTCTCGCTCCTGGGCACCGTGACCGTCTGCGCCACGGTGCTCTTTCGGGAGGAGTTCGTCAACAGGTCGTTCGAGGACTGCCTCAGCCCCCAAAAAACACCGTCTGGATTTTGGCTAACATCACTTCGACGGTGGGGACCAGCACGAGCCTCCCCTTGGTCTACATGTGCGTGACAGTCGACTCACGATGGAGGTGATGCTAGGATGCCAAGATGCCAGGGTGCTGGGACGCCAGGGTGCCAGGAAACCAGGATGCCAGGACACCAGGATGCCAGGATGCCAGAGATGCCAGAGATGCCAGGATGCCAAGCGGCCAGGAGGCCAGCATGGCAGGATCCCAGAACGTCCGGATGCCAGGAATGCCAGAAAGCTGGGGTGCCAGGGAGCCATGATGCGGCCAGGAGCCCGCCACCCCATCAAAAAACAACGTCATGGGCTTCAAGAAAAAGCATCAAACACATCATACACACGGCGTTCGAGGACTGCTTGCTCTACATGGTGAACCTGTTCGCGGGCCGTGACCTCCCGTGGGTTCCCCAGCAGACCGTGGGCAAGCTGGTGTCCGCCGCCGCGACCTGCCTGAGCATCATCTTCATCCCTTTCCTTGCCTCCAGGACCTCACAGCTCCCAGGAGGGCAAGGCGCGTTTCTGGTGCTCGTCTTGGAGAGCCCTCGTCCCCACGACCCGATCCATCTCGAGATGCTGGCCAGAACGCGCCCAGGGAGAGGTCCGGAGAGTTGCGGCATCGCCACCTTCCCTGAGATCCGACGGCGCGAAAACATAGAAACATAGGAAGAAATCACGAGAGCCCTACCTGACACCAACTTCCTGCGCCCTTTTTGGAGCCGGATCGATCTGCGAGGGTCCCGCGGGGCCCCGACCTGGGCGACAAGGCCTGGCTCGAACAGATGGAGACGCCAGGATCTCAGGTTTGTTTATTGCACCCCTCAGACCCCTGACGTCGTGTTTCTTGTTGTTGTTGCAATGTCAACCCCCCAGAGGTCTGGACCCCTTCCCCGTGACCGGTTTTTCATCCTGAATCGTTTTTTGAAGGTTCCGAGGCTCGGCGAAGGCCCCCAGAGGCCGAAAATGGCGAACGACCTCCCGTCGCGATTTTGTTCACAGCGCGAGGGGGTCTGGGCCAGGACCGTGATGCTCTACATGAACTCCCGGTCCGACAGCTCCCCCCCGGAGCCCGCTGCGGCGGAGGCGGGCCTGGAAGGCCTGCTCCGCCCGGCGCCGGGCTTGCCGACTCCGCCCACGAGGCCCCGAGCAGCGCCTGCCAGCGGCGCGGAGCTGGAGAGACCCAAAGCCACGGCAGGTTCATGCGGCGGTGGCGCGCTGGCGACGCCGTCGGAGGCGTTCATCCCAGACCCTGTCGCGTTGTGAAAGAATCACGACGGGATGTTCTTCGCTATATTTTCGGCCTCTGGGGGCCTTCAGCGGCCCCAGGGGTCATCAAGAAACGGTTCATGATGAAAAACTGGTCACGGGGAAGGGGTCCAGACCTCTGGGGTTCGACGTGATGAACAAATCATGACGTCGGGGGTCTGGGGATGGCGCGCCGGCGACGCTGGCAAAGGCGTCCATCGGGGCGCAAGGGACGGGGGTCAATGCAAATGGGGGTCACCAGAGCGCCAGATCTTGAAGGATCCTGCAGGACCAGTGTTGCAGTGAGCCGGATCCGCTCGCAGGATCCTGCAAAGCCTGACTGACACGGGTTTGGATTGACCTGGGTCAGTAGGTCCCTGAGTTCAAGGTTGAGTTCCGCATGATAGAGCGACGCGGAAACACCCAGGAACACGGTAACGCCACAGGACCCGATGGAATTCAACCTTGAACGATCGGGGCCGCGATCGGTTCCAGGTTGAACGATCGGCGCGGTGTAAAAAAATCTTGCGCGCGCCGACGCCGCACGAACCTACCGTAATTATCGATACCGCCATTCCCAGACAGTTGGCGTCTCGAAATGAAAATCGAGACGCGCCGTCACCAGGCCTGAACCTCTGGGTTCCCTGGGCCTCTCCAGGGGTGCGTTCTGAGACCAGGACTTCGCGGCGAACCCAGACGTGGCGACGAGGCCCCCCCAGGATGCCCTGGAAGGGCGAACGCGAGGCCAGGGTAGGGCTATCATTTTTTTCGTTCTTCTCTGGGTCGTTGGCTCGTGCCCCGCGGCGCCTGGACGAAAAGATATGTCGCACCCCGCAGTTACGGATAAGAGTGATGGGGGCGGCGGGGGCGTTTGCAGTCTGCGAGGCTTTGAAGAAGCCCGCCGCAGGCGCAAACATTCCGAGCTATACAACGAGCCCGCCGCAGGCTCCGATTTTTTATTCAAAACAATGTAGGTGGGTCGCGGGTTGGGTCGCAGGTAGGTCGCGGGTGGGTCGACGCGACGGTGGGTCGCGGGTGGGTCGCGGGCCAGGTCGCGGGCCAGGTCGCGGGTGGGTCGCGGGCCGGGTCGCGCGGGGGACGACGACAAACAACAACACCATCAACAAAACAGCAACAACAACAGCAACAACAACGCAACAAGCAGAATCTTCACCACGGATCCGCACTTCAGTCACGCACCCAGGGACAATGAATGACCGTTCGCCCCCCTCTCTCTGACTTTGCAGATGACTGGTGCAAAAGTGTGCGAAAGACGTGCGGCACTCGCCGCTCATCGAGGGCACGCTTCATCCCTGGGCCGCGCTTCACTGGCCCGGTGTCGTCACCCAGAGGCCGAGCGGAGCTGGCTGCAGTGAAAAACTCAATGAATTCTCCTATGATCGGCGGCGAAGTCCGAGCCCTACCTTCGCCGATCAGCGACTCAGGCAACTCGATGGGCGGCGGGAGTAGGCTTCGGAATCCGCCGTATACGTGGCGAGTTCCGAACCCTGCCCCCGCCTCCCATCGATTCAGGAGAACCGACGGTTGGTGGGGGTAGGGCTCGGATGCCGCCACCTATCGTAGGAGCCGGCGGTGTAGCCGAGGGGGGCTGTCTGTGCGCAACCCGCAGCCTTACCCATTCCTCAGACCTCGTCTTGGTCGCGCTCTGAGGCCAGGGTCTGAGCGCCTCCCAGGAGGCCCCAAAAGGGCGAACGCGAGGCCAGGGTGGGGGTATCGGCAGTCTGTTCTCCTCCGAGGAGCCGGCAGTGGAGGCGAGGGGGGCCCAGTTCTGGGCGGCGGCGGTGGCGCGGCTCGACCGCCTGGTTGTCTCGCGGCTGCTGAGCTGCGAGGAGGCCAGGCTGCTGCGCCGGCGCTGCCTGCGGAGGGACCCGCAGGTCTCGGGCCTCTCGGCGCCTGCAGTGGCTTCGCATCGCTCGGGCGTGTGCATTTTGCCTCTCGGCGAGGGCCATCGATCAGAGGAGGACGAGGTGCAGATACAGCTACCCTTCCATCGTTTTCGCGTTCTTGGGCCTCCTGGGAGGCCCTCGTCGCCACCGCTGGATTCTCCTCGAAACTCTGGTCAGACTGCGCCCCGGGAGAGGTCCGGGGAGCGGTATCGGTCTTTTGGCTTCCATGATCGAGGAGCATCCTGGACAATCTTGTGGAAATCATATAGGCGCACGAAGCTGAAAGAAGTGCACGGGGAGTGGACGTCCGAGCGATGGCAGGCCCGTGGCATCGCTCGGACGTGTGCGTTTCCCTTTCTCGGCGAGGACTGTCGAGCAGCATCTGGCAACAAAACGCACACGGAAGCAAAACATGTACCGTGAATGGACGTCCGATCGATGGCGAGGGCCGAGGGTGCGGTTACGCCAAGGTGTGGACTGCGATCTGCGCCGCTGGGGCTCGGGGGGCACCACGTGTTGCCCTCGTCGGGCCTCATCGGGGCGCGGCGGAGAACTCTGTCGAGGTCCTCGCCCGCCTCAGGGAGAAGGGGCAGGCCCTCTCAGAAGGCTCAGAAGTCCCCCGGCCTTCTGATGAGTTCTCGGAGCTTTCCCCGAAGGCACAGAGAACTTCTCCGAGGGCGCGAAGGCTTCTGAGAAGCCGCGCCGCCTCCTGGGAGGGCCTTCTCCTTCTCACCTCCCGCCCTCGCTCGCCGCCGAACACCCCTTGCAGACCGCGCCCTTCGGAGTCGCCGATCGGTGCGGCACGAGAGAGCGGCCCCTCGCTGGCGTGGCCCTCGGCGCGCGGCCTTTGGGCCTACTCTGTAAGAACGGTTTTTTGAAGGCAGATCTGCCTTCAAAAAACCGTTCTTGCAGAGTAGACCAGTCTTTCCTTTTTGAAGGCAGATCTGCCTTCAAAAAACCGTTCTTACAGAGTAGACGTGCTATCGTCGTGGCCAACTGTCATGACACAAGACCACTGGAGGTAGCGACCAGTCGGCATTCCAAATTAGTCGCGACCGATCGCGACATGCCAAAATCGGTCGCGACTGGACGAGGCATATCGGTCGCGAGCGATCGGTCGCGCCCGATTTCGAAGCAAATCAGCCGCGACAGATGTCAAGATTTGAAGCACCGTCGGTAGCGACCGATCTCGTCTGTCGGGGTCAGAAAAATCTTGCATCCCAGACCTCATGAAACTATTACTGACCCCTCCCTCCCTTCGGTGAAACACCAGCGCAGCCAGCACCCCGAAGCGTTAGCCTGGCACTTGGCGCCCACTGGTCCCTGGAGCCCTTGGGCCCATTATTCATATTTACCTAACAGCGAAGACTGATTGGTTTCTAGTGGTGTCAAAAAAAAAGAGCATCATGACTCCTCAGGGGGGTCGGGGCGGGACCGCTGCTAGAACTCCATTCCCGGCGTACATTTTGGATGCCCAGAGCCAACTGTAGGCCACTTCGTGGTCTTCGAGTTCCCAGAACTCCATTCCCGGCGTACATTTTGAATGCCCGGAGCCAACTGTAGGCCACGTCGTGGTCTTCGAGTTCCCAGAACTCCATTCCCGGGCCACATTTTGGATGCCCGGAGCCAAGTGTAGGCCACTTCGTGGTCTTCGAGTTTCCAGAACTCCATTCCCGGGCCACATTTTGGGTGCCCGGAGCCAAGTGTAGGCCACTTCGTGGTCTTCGAGTTCCCAGAACTCCACTCACTCCCGGGCCACATTTTGGATGCCCGGAGGCTGAGGCGCTGAGGCTGAGGCTGACGCTGAGGCAGGCTGAGGCAGACGCTGAAGCCGGCTGATGCTCAGGCAGGCTGAGGCTGAGGCTGAGGCTGAGGCAGGCTGAGGCAGGCTGAGGCTGAGGCCGAGGCTGAAGGCAGACTGAGGCTGAGGCTGAGGCAGGCTGAGGCTGAGGCTGAAGGCTGAGGCTGAGGCTGATGCAGGCTGAGGCTGAGGCAGGCTGAGGCCGCGGGAGTATGCGAGAGCGCAGCAGGCTGAGGCTGAGGCAGGCTGAGGCTGAGGCTGAGGCTGCAGGCTGAGGCAGGCTGAGGCCGCAGGAGTATGCGGGAGCGCAGCAGGCTGAGGCTGAGGCAGGCTGAGGCTGAGGCTGAGGCTGATGCAGGCTGAGGCTGAGGCAGGCTGAGGCCGCGGGAGTATGCGGGAGCGCAGCAGGCTGAGGCTGAGGCAGCTGAGGCTGAGGCTGATGCAGGCTGGGGCCGAGGCAGGCTGAGGCCGCAGGAGTATGCGGGAGCGCAGCAGGCTGAGGCTGAGGCAGGCTGAGGCTGAGGCTGAGGCTGATGCAGGCTGAGGCTGAGGCAGGCTGAGGCCGCAGGAGTATGCGGGAGCGCAGCAGGCTGAGGCTGAGGCAGGCTGAGGCTGAGGCTGAGGCTGATGCAGGCTGGGGCCGAGGCAGGCTGAGGCCGCAGGAGTATGCGAGAGCGCAGCAGGCTGAGGCTGAGGCAGGCTGAGGCTGAGGCTGAGGCTGATGCAGGCTGAGGCTGAGGCAGGCTGAGGCTGAGGCCGAGGCTGAAGGCAGACTGAGGCTGAGGCTGAAGCTGGCTGAGGATGAGGCCGAGGCAGGCTGAGGCTGAAACTGAGGCAGGCTGATGCTGAGGCAGGCCGAGGCTGAGGCTGTGACTGTGACTGCCGTTGCCGCTGCGACTGTCATCGCGAATGCGACTGCGACTGCGAGAACAGCAGAATTCTACAACTGGATTCTGATCTGAATCTTAAGGGGAATGCTTCCAGATATGTTTCTAGACATCGCTGTTAGGTTGCTTTGCCGGGATAGTTTTATTCTACTAATACTACTACCACCACTATTGCTACTACTACTGCTACTACTACTACTACTACTACTACTACTACTACTACTACTACTACTTACTACTAACTACTACTACTACTACTACTACTACTACTACTACTACTATACTACTACTACTACTACTACTACTACTACTACTACTACTACTACTACTGCTACGACTACTACTACTACTACTACTACTACTACGACTACTACTACTACTACTACTACTACTACTACTACTACTACTACTACTACTACTACTACTACTACTACTACTACTGCTACTACTACTACTGCTACTACTACTGCTACTAGTACTGCTACTGCTACGACGACTACTACCACTACTACTACTACTACTACTACTACTACTACTACTACTACTACTACTACTACTACTACGACTACTACTACTGCTACTATATCTTCTACTACCACTGCTATTACCACTGCTACGACCACTGCCACTACTAGCACTACTACCACTAACTACTACTACTACTACTACTACTACTACTACTGCTGCTGCTGCTGCTGCTGCTACTACGACTACTCTTACTACTACGACTACTACTACGACTACTACTACTACTACTACTACTACTACTACTACTATCACTACTACTACAAAACGGCGGCGACTACTGCTACGGCTACTACGGCCGCTACTATGGCTACTACTATTGCAATTTCTATTACATTACTACGCTTTCACTATCACTAATGCTGCTATTACGACTGCTACCGCGGCGACGACAGCGACGACGACTACTACTGCTACTACAACTACGAAGGCTACAAGTTCTTTAAGTAGCAGTAGTCGTCGTAGTAGTAGTAGTAGTAGTAGTAGTACGGCTACTACTACTACTACTACTACTACTACTACTACTACTATTACTACTACTACTACTACTACTACTACTACTACTGTTACTACTACGACTACGACTACTCCTACTACTACTGCTACTTCTACGACTACTACGGCTATTTCTACAAAGGCGACTACGCCGTCTTGTATTACTACTGCTAATAATGCGGGTACTAGTACTAAAACTAAGATTAATGCGATTACTACTCGTGGTATTACGGCGACTACTTTTTCTACTACTACGACGACGACTACTACTACTACTACGATGTCGACTACTACGACCTACTACTACGCAAATATTACTAGGACGGCTACGACGGCAAGTACTACCCCGAGTACTACAACTACGGCTACTGCTACTCATACGATGACTACGACCACTACTACTACTACTTCTGCTAGTTACTGCTACTAGTTGCTACTACTGCTGCTACCACTACCGCTACTACAACATCAACTATTCCTACTACCATCGCGACTACGACTGGCACGACTGGTACGACTACGGTTCCCAGTATTTTTTCTACAGCGACTACGACCCGTACACTGTCTACTACTACTTCGACGACTGCTACTATTAGTGCGACTGCTTCTACTACTACGACTACTACCACTAGTACTACTAAGTTGAAGTCGTAGCCCTGCTGCCACTACTCCTCGTACTACTATTACTGCTTCTACCGCTACGACGGCTACTACTACTACGGCGACGACGACTACTACTACTACTACCACCACCACTACTACTACTACTACTACTACTATTACTACTACTACTACTACTACTACTACTACGACTACTGCTACGATTACTACTGCTACTACTACTGCTACTACTATTCTTAATACGACGACGACTACTACTACTAAAACGACGACCACTACTACTACTACTACTACTACTACTACTACTACTACTACTACTACCACGACTACTATTGCTACTGCTGCCATTGCGACTGGCAGTTCCTCTACTCACTATTAGTTACCGTATCCTTATTTGTCGTGCTGCAACGACGACGACTACTACGTCGATTGCTTCTGCTAATGCTACTACGACTTGTACTGCTGCTGCTACTACTGCTACGCAGTACTAGCACTACGACTTCTACCCCTACCACTACTATCACTACGAGTGCTACTGGAACTATTCTCACTACTACTACGACTACTCCTACTACTACTACTACTACTACTGCTACGACTACGACT